CAACAAGATCACTTTTTGTCAACAAATTTAATCCTATTACACTTAAATAATATTTGATGATATAAAATCACCAACACATGAGATGGCCTGATGGTGGATTTCTCCAATTTCTGCCCTAATTTATTGTTTGAAGGTATGGCTTTGATTTTCTAATTCTCAAACAATAGTGGAATTTGGGTCTTTCTCTTTCTCTCGAGGAAACCTAATTGATCATCCTGATATCACTTAAAACAGATAACTCCATAAAAGCTTAAGCTTTTCCCTAATCAACCTGTACGAACCATTAATCTCTTCTCCAAATGTAATCTTTCTCTCCAAGAAGTCTGAATTGGGTAATTGTGTCATCCTTCCGTTAGCTGCTTGGCTGCCTGTCTCACCTACCTACTTGGTTGTTTCCGGTCATCTTTGCCTCAGGTCGAGGCATGACACTTAAAAGGTGGGTTTGTTCATTTCTTACATGTCAGTGTTTCCCCAAAGCAGCTTGCCACCTGCTGCTTCCTTCAAGAAACTTGTTGCTTCATCAATAGATTTTGGTTACAGTTCCTTTCCTTCGTATGACACGTATAATTTTAAGGTATATCGATTCTATACTTTGCGCTATTTATTTTTACTCTATCCTCTGGGTCTCTTGCTCTTGATGCCTCGTTATTTTCCGTCTTCAGCAGTTGGCATCGCCAACTGTGATAACTATGCAAATTGATTTTTCGGTCACTAAAGAAGGCTCGGTAAGGTATTACATATCTAAGTTAGAGTTCTTCATCACACACTCTCAGTCCGTCATGGCATAATCAGAGGCAGCTAATGTCTCATGCTACAATTTTCTTATCGTTATGATTGGAAATTTTCACCAGGTCATGAATATTGTATATAGAATGAGGGCTTCCATTTATTTATAATTATGAATTTAAGAAAAAACAAGTTGCACTTAACCTGTTCAATGAAATGTTTCAATGACACATACAAGTCTATTTTCACCAGATATAAGGTTACTGGCCCAACATCAGGTGGTTTTGTAGAAACTTATGGAGATAACATTGGTCCTCATTTTTTTTCTTATTCAGGACCTTTTTTTGAAAATCAGTTTGATATTTGAGTATTCTACATTTTCATAATTTCATAGTTAAAGTTGGTTCAAATTATTGATGGATTTTGTAGATACCTTATCAACAAAACCAATGTAAAGGATCTGATGTGATATTTGTTACTTCAATTTTAGAACTAACATAAAAAGGATAGGATATGTTATATTAGGTGAATTAAGGACCTGATTGGTTATTTCAATTTTATAATCATGTATCCATTCCATGTATCGTCTCCTGAGTTCTTCCATATACAATCCTTTTTCCATTTTAGCAAATTTATCATATCTCTATTCTTCTAGAAGTTCACTCCACCAAATCTATTGCTAGATCATTCCCATTTTTCAGCAACTTAACACTATAGAAAAAGAATTCTTTTTTATTTCTCTTCCTTTGTATGTAGGTATGGAAGCATCTTTTGAACCAATTATTTCAAAAGATATGGATGGAACTTCAAGTATATCAAAGTTATCATGAAGAATCTGAACATCAATCGAATTTTAATGTTGTGTGGTTTATGATCCTTATGGTGTTAGCTAAATATCTCCATAACATATTTCAACACCCTAAGATAGACAAAATAGAGGATTCCAAAGTCATAGTTTTTGCTATTGTGTATAAGCTAAAGAACAAATCATCAAATCACATTAATGAGGAAATGGATGCTTCGAGAATCACAGTTTCTACTATAGTGTATAAGCTAAAGAAAGGAATCAACAAACAAATCCAGGTTTAGATGTAAAGCATTAAAGTTGCGATCTATAATTTTAGGGTAATATATAGCTATTATTTGCTATATTTAGACATTTTGGGTGTTCAAAGAGGTGAAAGAACATGCTAAACATTACCCATATATGTTTTTGGTGGCTTTCAACCTTTGAGGACTTTCTTGATAACATCAAAAGGCAATGTATATTTTTCTGTTTGTTTTGAAATATAATTGCTTTATTTT